TATAAGAGTTATATAATGGAAATGAAGATTCGACACACAATGCGTGAAATTGAAAAAACTATAAACTGCAAAATTGTCGATTTTAATCCTTCGATGCGCACGCGTCTTGAATCACAGCAGCCTTCACGCTATTGACGGCCATTAGGCTGGTGTATAGCCATACACATAAGTCTGGCTGATGATGTTATTGGCGACGATTTACCGTTTGTTTTGTAGCCTGCCTTAAGTATCTATTGGCAGCAGCAGCAGCCGGAGCAAAAGTCTTGATCGCGCGCGTTGCACGTTCGACAAACGAATCTTTGCCATTGTGCAGGCAACACTTGTATTTATTAAAAAAAAAACCGCCACAGCACAGACAGAGCCGAGACTAAGACCGAAAGCTAGCCACGAACCGTTGCCGACCTTTGCGGCGGCACAAAGAGAAAGGTTCGACAACAGCAGCAGCAGCAGCAGCAGCAGCTTCTCTATGGGTTTTAAGCAAACGTTGCAGGGGGCTACTTTGGTTAATTCAACGTTGACGGCCGCAACTGCTAGTTAGGCGCTTGTTTAATGGCCACCCGTGCATTTGCAGGCAGCCGCCTGGAAGCGTTTGCGCCCCCCAAACACCAGCAACAACAACAAATGCTAACGTGACACTAAATTGAACTAGAGCCACGGCCTGGGCCTGGTCCTGGGCATGGGCCTCCGACAGCAGCAGCGCCTGCGCCTGGGTCTGGGCCTGGCCGAGGCTAAAGGGCATATTTTGTGTTTAGTTGCTGTTTAGTTGGCTCAAATTGTGCGCATTACATTTAACAAGCTCGCAAATTTGGCTAAGCATTTGCATTTGCATTTGCATTGCATATTTAATAACGCCCAATCGGCAAGTTCGCTGCCTAAGTCTTTCGTTTGACATTTGCAATTGCCACCGGGCAATTGATCAACATTTCAGCGCATGCGTGGGCCAACCTCAGCCTCAGTTTTAGCTTCACCATCAGCATGAGCAGCCTCGACTCTCAACAATTTGGCTCAATTGCAGTGCGATTTAATTTCCAGCTCTCTTACCCAATGCCTAATTGCCTGTCTTGGTGCGGGCGATTGTTGGTTTGCTGTCGCTGTTGCGGCTGTTGTTGCTGCTGTTGTTGTTGCTGTTGTTGTTGGTGTCAAAGTTAACACGGTAGCTGTGAAATTTAGCGCTGAGGAAATCCGCTTAAATGGCCTGACAAATTATAGACTCGATGCCATTTCCTCATCCTTAACAAATTGATTAAGACAATTGCAATCCAAATAAATAAGTTGATAATTAAGCTGAAGATCTTTCTGCTTTTTGTGTGTGTGTTTTTGTTGTTGCTGCTCGGCAGCATTTGCGCAACAGCAACATCGATCAATTGCAGGCAACAACAGCAGCAGCAGCAACAACAACAACAACATGGGATTTACTTATTATAAATTCAGCTCATTGTTGTTGTTGTTGTTGTTGTTGGTTTGCTCACATTGTCATTTAGTTGTCTGCGTGTTGCTTGTGAAATTGTTGCATTGCATGCTGGACGCAGACAGCAGCAACAGCAGCCAAAACAACGATGCGATCAGCAACATCAACAACAACAACAACATTGGCAACATCTTCTTTTCTTTTACTACTATTTATTATTATTGTATTAAAGTTTTTTCTATTTTTTTTTTCTCTTTATTTTTCCCTTTTTTTTGTTTTTGTTGGCTGCACAGCTTTTAATTTCAAACACTTTTTGCAGCAGCCAAGCAGAAGTGCAACAGTTAGCTCCAATCAATGGTCATTATGAAGTTGATAATGATGTTGCTGCTTCTGCTGTTGCTGCTGCTGCAATTGCTGTTGATGCACTCAACTGCTGTTGCACTTCGCAGTTTGGCATTTGCATTCAGTTTTTATTGCTAGAATGTTGTTGCTGTTGCTGTTGCGGTTGCTGTTGCTGCTCTGGCTGATGCTTTTTGCGGCCGACAGTTTTATGCTCTAAATTTTATGTGTATAAATTGTTTCTAGCGCGACAGCCTGTTGGACAGTAGTCAACCTTAGCATTTAGCTTATGCATTTGATATACATACTCCGCAAAACATCGGCCAAGATCTTAATTGGCAGAATCTACGCGAAACTATTTCCAGTTGTTGCTGTTGTTGTTGTTGCTTCTCTTGCTACTGCCGCTGCTGCTTCTGCTGTTGTTGCTCTTGTTAATGAAATGTGCATTGGACAATGCTATTGCATAATCCTCATCGTCTTCGTCGTCGTCGTCGTCGTGCATATGTCAACTGTGCGGATTGTAACTTTTTGTTATTGTTTTCGAATAGAGTCTGGCTATGATACGTTAATCATATAGTTGGCCATAATAATTATGGCTAATTTATGTATAATTAAACTGCGACAAATCGTAATTAAAATGCCATCCAAGACAGAGTGTATTAAGCTACTTCACTTTACTACTTACTAAGTGTAATTGATATATGAGTTACGGGCTTAGCTGAAGCTTTAGCCTATGGGTAAATATGTCAAAATAGAGGCATAATATGTGCATTTAAAGCAATGCATATTCAAGAACTATCTGGGATATTTAAAAGTCAATTAATGCACATTTAAGGTATGATAGCTCAGCATTTTTTATTTAAATTTGACATTTAGGTTCTTTGATTAAGGCTTTCACTTTTCTTTTTAAATTAAATTAAAGATCAAATGTACTGCAAACAGGTTTTACTCATGAAAAACTAAGCTGTTTATTAAAAATTTCATTGCATACTTTCGAGGGCTGCCAAAATAGAATTATTCTAAATTGTCAATCATTCATAAAAATAAATATTTTTAGAATTTCCGAATTTTATTGCTTATACTTTGCAGCTGACTTTATAGTTTTGTATCTGCCCAAAAACCTTTAACGAATCCCATAAATCATAAATGTCAAAAATAAGCGCTTTTGCATTAATTAAAATGTCTGGAGCCGTAAAAAAAGAGCATTCTAATTTAAGCAATTGCCACACAACATTTAAATACAATTAATATGGCTTGACGTAAAATCGTTTTATTTGAAAACCAGTCGGGCGTAAAACTGCTATAAACATAAACCAATTCGTGATTCATGAATCGCAAGCCCAATCGGGCGAGCCCCCCACAAAGAGACGAGTCTTAAATCTGTATTTGCTCAGCGGCGGCTCTATCTCAATTGGAGTCCAAGTATATTTGTAGTTAAATCCGGGTTCCAGTGAAGCGTGGACCACACTGACACACACATACATAATCACACACACACACGAGGCACACTCTCGCTCGCTATGCTTATAATTTGCTAATGAGCGTAGAGTCCAGTCAACTGTAGACAATTGCGATTGGCATTACATGTTGTGTGGGTCGCCGGGGCCATAAAAGATCATTTTTGGTCGGACTTTTTTTTGGCCCGCATTGTTATATGATTTGCGTTTTCCTGGTTTTTCGTTTTGGCCAAGTGTTTCCATTAAACGCAGCCGGGTCCGTGTGATAAATTTATGTACTTAAGCTTTAAGTGCTGCACGCTTGGCAGGTTGATTTTCACTCTGCACTCATAATGTGGAAGCCCATTAAAATCAGAAACAGTCAGCATTTAATGCACCCAATCCGCATCATTCGATAATGAGCTAATGTGGGCAGACAGCTGATAGACATGCTTCCATGGCTTGCATTTCCAGCGCCAGCTCGATCTCCGCATGTTGCCAGCGACCTTGCATAAATTTATGATTATGATTTTTGGTGCCTGTGCAATCAGCTCATAAAATGTCAGAGGGCATAGAAAGAAAATAAAGGCACAGGTGAAGCTATTAACATGCTACGTGTGTGCCTAAAAATAAAAGAGTTAAGTGTTGCTTCACTTAAGTCTGATTGCACAATAAATCTGTGACTCTAACTTCAATAAAAAGAAATCAGAAAAGCGTTGCATTAACTTGGCTGAAAGCAAATGCAGCCCAAATAGCGAGTTTAGCACAAAAAACCTTTAAACAATAAATATTAACAAAAAATAAATACATATGTGTGTATGTGTCGAATAATATAATCATAGAAAACAAGCAACAGAGAGAAAAAGAAAAAGATTTTCACACTACAAAGACTCAGCTGCTGACAGCGGCAACTAGCGAGGCATGTAAACTCGTCTTTGGCTTAGCATTAGCAATAGGTAAGCCCCCATAAGCCTCACCTGGCGGCTGCCTTTGACGACAGCGACGCTGACGCCGACGCCGACGACTTTATTTACATTTTGGGCGTGAGAAGAATGAATGAAGCATGCAAAAATATGACAAACAAAATAGCATAGATATACATATGTACATACATGCAAACGTGTGTATGTGCAAGTTGTGCTGGCTGCATCTTTCCCAGATGCAGCTGCACCTGTTTGGCTTTAATTAGATCTTGCAGTAGTACTATTTATTCGCACCGGCAACGCCCTTGCGGTATCTATGCAAAAATCTACAACTACATCCACAGCCCATGCTCTCTTTAAATTGCGTGCCAAAAAAAAAATAATTGCTATCTGCCTGTCTGATGTAATATATTTATGCAAGTCCAAATCAAACTGATGCGGAAAGAGCAAAAAAAAAAAAAAAAAAAAAAATCAACCGTGTGCCACTGTATTTGGTACAAGTGAATGCAGCAAGTATCACTGAGGATTTCCCAAACCTCGGGTCAGCTGGCCCTGGTTTTAACTGTGACTGTGACTGTGCCTGTGCCTGTGGTTGTGTCGGTGTCTGTGGTCGCACAGCAATTAAGTTCTTAGGCATTAACGTGCCTTAAATGCTGCTTGATCAATCACAAGGCTGCCAAAGAGTCGTGTGAAATGTTCACACATTACAGTTGGGCATTAGGCATTGCAATAAGAATGGACATGTACAAATTAATTACATGCATACATATGCACTTCAAGTACATGCACAGTTGTGTAAGCATAGGCTCAGCTTTAAACTAAACTGGGATAGGCTTAGATGACGTTACGAATTGTTATCAATACTTATGCAGTCGTTTAACTTGCAGCTAAATTTCATTCATTTAAATACAGAAAAAAAATATAGACAATGAGAAAAAAAGTTAAGACCTTGCGTTACAAAACCGTTGAGATCGTACAATCAAATCATTACCAGCATTTTGGACAACAGATATCATTTTGAATACACACGTAAATGTATGCAAATTCCAGCTTTTGAGTGCCAAGGCTCTTTACAAGAGAAGAAAAGACTAGAAATCAACAAGACACAAAAATAGAAATAAACAATAAACAAAACAACACACGTATACTTAACGATGTGAAAATGTGCAAAACAAAGCATTTGTTTAAAAACCAGCAATTAGGCACGCACCCGCACAAAAAAAAAAAATAATAATAATGTCTTAAGACATGCAAGCGCTGTAAAATGACATTTCAATGAAGTCGCCAAATGATTTAATTCAACAGCAATCTAGCTACACACACATGAGAAATGCCAATGCCCAGCGGTAAATGCGTAACTTAACAGCATATTTACACCATTAGTGCGTTGGCGCTGGCATTAACAAAAAACTTTTTTGCAGTCTAGCAAACCTGCTTCAACTAACATGAGACGCTACCTTGGCATTTAAAATGTGGCAAAGTGCAAAAAAAAAAGTTTATTTTTTAAGCGAGCTGCTCGCAACAGGAAGATCGACAAAAAAGCCGTCGAAATTTCTTAATAGAAGCACCAAAAGGCAAGAAAACAAAAAATAAACAAGTTGGAGCCACAGATTAAATGTTAATAGCACTAAAGCCGAAGCTGAAGCCGGCAACAAACGAATCGAAAAACCGGATTTGTGGCACAGAACAATGCGCGCATAAATCTCGCGACAGCTTGAAATGCAATTCACCAAAGCGCCGAATGAAAGATTGTCAGGGATTAACGACACAGCTTCGGCAGTCAACCAAGTGGACAGCATATCAAGCATCGAAAAAATGCAGCGCGCTGCAATAATCAAATCAAACAAAAAAAAAACTTGACATTGTCTGATTTAATAAAAAGGAAGCTGCATAAACCGCAACCGCTGACTGAGAGAGGCGCCCCCCGTAATATTAACGCATATTAAGTGGCACATTGTGTAATGTGGCACATGCAAAAGACATGTTGTTGCCACATCTGGCAGCCACAGTCCACAATCCTACGTGACATGCAGTGAAAGTTAATTTTAGCGAAAATTATGAAATGAAATGAAATGTATTTTCCTTTCAGTTGCCATTGCCACCGTCTTGCCATTGTCTCGTTGCGGAAATAAAAACCGGCAGCTCGGAGTCTCTGCTTGTCTCGTCCACAAGGTTAATAAATACATCTGATAAATAGGCGGCACCGAAATCGAAAAAATCCACTTAATCAAATTAAACAACTACCATTCCGCTTACACACTCTCTGTAATAGCTGCCCTGCAATTGGCAGCTGGAGCACATTTTCGGCTGGCTCATTGTTTGGTCGCTTTACAGTTTAGAAAGGTTGCTACCGCCGCTGCCACATGACGCGAAAGGTACATAAAAAGTGTGCTCCACATGCTGCACAGGTGGTTCGGTTTGTTTAGTTAGATTTTCAAAAACTAAAAGGTTATTAAACGTTTGCTGCACATTGTTGTCTGCAGTTGCATGTGAAAGTTAAATTTCAAATGTATTTTTTTTTTTATTATACAGCAAATAAATCACTGCAGTTATCCGTGTGTGTCTGTTGGTGTGTATTAATGGTGGACAGATCGTGCTCACTTGGAGTCAGCTGCTGAGTTGGTGGCCGCCTTGATAGCTGCTGCTGAAGTGCGTTTCAGGCTAACCAACACCTGACGTTTCTTCGAGGCCGGGCCGGGTCGGTTGGCCTTAGTCACGGCCACTTTGGGCGTTGCTTTCTTAACTGTGGTCGACTCCGACTTAGCGGCAGTTGCCGATTTTGTTGGTGTTGTTACAGCAGTAGTAGCAGCAGCAGGCTTTTTGTCTGCTGTCTTAGCAGCTGGTTTTGTTTCCTTTGCAGCGTCGTCTGTGATGGAGCCATTTGATTCATCTTTGACATCCTTCAGCTTGTTCTTTTCACTGTAATTGTTTAATATAATTATTAGTAAAAATAATTAATCAAAACTAATTTCACGTCACCTTTCAATGTCAATATTCAGTACAGATTCATCTTCCTCCTCCTCTTCTTCTTGACCCATTGGTTTGACTTCCGCCAACAGATCACCCAAATCCTTGTCAACCTCCTCCCATAGTTTATCATCTTGCGATTCATCACCATCTTCCCCCTCGAATTCTTCATCATCATCCTTGACATCCCTCTCAATATCTTCTTCTGCTTCAGCTTCGTCAGTGTCCTTGTGTACCTTATTACCCTCCTCATCGACCTCTGGATCATCATCTTCGCCTTCGTCCGATTTAGACTTCTTTTCTGTCTCTTCTTTATGGCGCAGATAGTTCTTAATATGCAAATGCTGCAAGCAATGCTTCTTTGAGTATGTTTCTAAGGTTTCATCGCCTTGCTTGGGCGAATAATGATTGCACAATTCGCAGTAATAGGTCTCAACAGCCTTGATGAAATCCAGGCCAATCAGGCCACGTTTGCGAGTCTCCTCGTCAGCGCTCTTCTGCGCGGTTTCAGCCTCAAGCAGCATTGCATCAACATCAGCATCCATGGCATCGTCATCGATCTCGCCTACCGAATCAACGGTAAGGAATTTGTTCAAATCAATTTCACGCTCATCAACGCTGTCCTCCGAGCCAGACTCATCATTGCGGGCTTTATTCTGCAAGAACAAATGATTATTAGTTTAATTACGATATACTGCTTGTTAACACCTACTCGTATGTGCTCCAACGAGCAGCGATGGTTTTCATAAAGCATAGCGTTCTTAAATGCCAAGTGACAGGAGCCACAGTATGGCATCAGGAACTTCTTGATCGTCTTGTGATGCTCTGAGGCTTGATGCAGATTCTTCGGCTGACGATAAGCCAAACGGCACAGACGACAATAACGAGACTCGTACTCTTCCTTGCTGTTCTCCTCGATTTCACGCTGTGTGGTGCGTTGACGGGCGCGCATGCGCTGCAAGTCTGCGCGCTGACGTAATGCAACGGTACGCATCGAATTCTTGTGTGTGCGTGAGTTCAAGTGATAGTGATATTCCTGCGGAATATATCTAAATAAGTATCTATAGTGATGATGCAAATCCATCTCTACTCACCTTGAAGGTAACGCACTTGATGCGGCAGTGCACGCAGGTCAGTTTAATGAAAGTGCGCTTGCGCAAATTGTGTTCATCGTCACGATGACGAGAGGTTGTACGACGCTCTTTGCGATCGTCATCGCTCTCGTCTTTGTCCTTGCGCGATGAGCGTTCCTTCTTGCTGGACGACGACTTCTTTGACTTGGAGTCCTTGTCATCGCCGTCTTTCTCTTTTTTCTTACCTGTTGACTTTTCAGCAGTGCCCGTGGATTTACCCTTTTCTTTGGGCTTATCGGCATTGTCACCGGACTCATCGGTCTTGCCCTTACCAGCCTCTTCATGAGCATCATCATCATCATCGGTGCTAACTTTGGTTTTTTTCTTCTCCGCGTCATTGTTATCATCTTGCTCCTGGTTATCGCCATCGTCCTTATCCTTGTCATCATGTGACTTGCCCTCGGCATCTTCAGTTGCCGTTTTGCTGCTACGTTTCTTGCTTGGCGACTTTTTAGTCGTTTCGCTCTTCTTCTCTTCTCCATCAGCGCCAGCTTTATTGTCGTCTTCGTCTTCTTCGCCACCATCTTCATTGCTTTTGATCTTCTTTTTATCAGAATCGTCCCCCTTGTCAGCGTTTTCAGAGTCATCATTGTCGTCGCTAGAGTTATCGCTGCTGTTCACTGCCTGGCGTTGGCGCCGCAACGAGCTATACATGGGAATTCGAATTGAATTTTTGTTTGTTGTTGTTTTTTTTTTTTTTTAGTTTTGGTTTTTGTTTTGTGGTGAGGGGGCAAGGCATAAATGCAAATTGATGTGGTAAGTACTCGTACACAATTAAGATGTAAGCTAACAAAATACTTTGTTACATAGTGTCGGGTGTCGTTGGTTATCTTAATTTGATTCTCTACATGTTTATACACTTTACAAGATCTCGAATCTCTCTTTCTAGTATCTCGATAGAATAATGGTTTTAAAACCCCTTTCAATTTGTGAATTTAGCCAATAATAGTTTTCAACACACACTCAAATATGGCATATTATTTATATTGATATAGAGTGTTCATATTACACATATAGCCAAATGTATCAGATGCTCTTTTCGCACTTCATTGGCACATGGCATACTTTAAACTATCATCAGCTTCGACTTCTTTATAGGATTTTTTTTAAATATATATACGACTTTATCTTTTTTTCACTTTTTGTTTTGTTTGTTTAACTTTTTGTCTAATTACCTTTTCAACTGTTGTATCTTGAGCAGACGAGCGCGATCTTTCTGCTGCGCATAGAGCAGCTGACGGCGCATGGTGCGCAAATCATTCGATTCGTTGAGGCGCGGACGCACAATCCTCATGGTGCCAACGCCGCGCATGTTGCTGCGAATCATGCCGCCGCGTATGGACATTGAGCCCCGCGGCCGTGATATATAACTTGTGCCGGCAACACTGCGCAACAGCGGCCGCTTTGGCGGACCCATCGATGAATCACGCTGATGCCGCTGGCTGCCAGAATCATCTCGTGGCCTATACGAGCTTGAGCTACCGCCACCACCACCACCGACGGTGCTGTTCCGTTGATGGTAACTGGACGAGGACGAACCCATATTCTGCGATGAAGACGATGGGCGATCGTTGTGATCATTTGACGACGAAGTGCGACGGTAATCCTATGACGATTGATGAGTAGGAAGGAGTGTAGAGGAGCATTGTTTTTTTTTTTTTTTTTTGATTTGATATTCGAATACATATAGAGATATACATAGAAATTTCTTGATTTGTGGATGATAAAGAATTACTATATATATATATATATATATTTGTATATAGTTATTTATATATATAAATTGGGTTATCTCAAATGCAATAATCATTATCCTGGCAGCAAGTGTGTGTAGTAGTAGTAGTAGTAGTAGCATGTTGAACAAACCTTATATTTTTAGCTATTTTAGATGGATTGATACAAATATACATATCGAATGTATATATATTTATAGGTATATAGATATATATCTGTTGCTTGGAACGGAGAAATTGTCTGATTGTTCAGGCATTAAAATATAAATACATGAGATATAGACACACGGTCTCATTCGCGGTTCAAGTTCAATCTCAGCCGTGGCTGTATAATATATGCATTATTACATATATCTTGATCTCTGTGGCAAAATCTTTGCTATAATGCGTAGCTGCTGCTGTTGCTGCTGCTATTTATAATGTATAATATATATGCAATACAAATTGAGTTCTTTCGTTCTCAAAGTCTTTTAATCTGACTACTTTGAGAGCACTACCATTTACGTGTGTGCTTTTCCATCCGGCGTTAAACCTTCATAAATAGCGCTATAAATATTTGGAAACTCATTAAAATTACACAGACAATGACAGCTGTACATATATACACAAATATCTTTAAGAAACCTAAAATTTTTGGATTTTACTTTTCTTTTTAGGGCACATTAATGTTTGGTTAAGTCTTATATGAACTTACGTCTTGACGTGGACGTTTCCGGTCATCACCACGATCGCGTGAGGAATCCTGTTATACCCAGACATAGAATTTCATGTTAGAACTGAGATTTTAATGTATTAATCACAACTTACATAGCTACGCTTGTGGGAAGAGCCTGAGTCATAGCGTCCGCCGGTGCTAGAGTTATGATGGTTGTTAAACTTATCGCGGTTCCGATTATCGTAGTGGTCATTGTTGGAGTTGTTATTGTTTCCACCACTGTACCGATTGTTGTGATGATAGTTGTTCTCATATCTTCCGTTGTTGGGACGATAGTTTCCTTGCGTACGCGTGTTCACGTAATTGCTGGAATTGCGGTTGTTGTAATAACCGCCACCACCGCGCATAGTTCCGCCTCCACGTGGAATATAGTTGCCGCGACCACGCATTTTGCTATAAAAATAAACACAAGCACGCACAAAATGAACCAAAAGACGCCCACAGTCTAGCTTTCTTTTGCCTACTGAAGCACCCTGTTTCCACCTTGCATCTGGGACCGGCTTTGACAGCGGCAAAAAAAAATCAATATTTCTACCAACATATTTCGCGAAAAATACTTTGAAATAACGCTGCGCTTACCTTTTATATTAATTTATTGGAAAGAACAAACTTGATGTTCTTGGTTGTGATTGCTTTTTCACTAAGATTGCAATTATTTTAAGGCTTATATTTTCTAACTGTTAGCAAGCCGTACACACAAGAAAATTTTCCGACAATGGCTAATATTTTAGTGATGTGCAATGAAATAATCGAGGTATACCCCAAAAATTGACAGCAAAATAGGAGCAAGTTGGCATCCTCAAAAAATCAATGTGACCAAATACGTAATAAACGTAAAATACCAGACCTTTTGTTGTTTCCATACAATTTTAAATAGCGCCTTATATGTTGAATGTCTTTTACTCCCATTTATTTTGCGGGTCTCAACGATGCATTTGATATTATATTGAGTGAGATTTCAGTACATGCATATGTTCTTTACTCAATAAAAAGCAGCGTAATTGTAAGAAAAGTTATTGCTAAATTAAGTTTTACATATGTTACACAGAGACGACCGAATATGTCAGCATAAAACTAAATACTCTTTGGAATGCGCCACAGCAAATGTTGGCAAGGTGCCTGGCTTGCATTCAAGATCTCACACAACTCCTGTTGGGCGCACATTAGTCGGCGGAGCTGCTGTATTGGGCTTCGTCATAATGTCGAACGCATTTTTGAACAGCTGTGTCTTCATAAAGTCCGTTGCTGCGCTATTTAAATCTTTATTAGCGCCATAGTTGCACTTGACATAGCCATAGAGATTTGCGGCATTCAGGGCAATGGCAATCATGACTAGTAGCAGCCACTTGAACTTCAGTCCGAATAGGGCCATCAAAAAGAATAGACCCCAAAAGAAGGGACAGAGTATTAAGCCCAGCCAGAAAATGCGCTGCTCATGTTTGTTGATTCGGCTCTGATAGGAAGGAGACTGTGTTACACTTATCATACCGATAGCAATCAAGTACTGTTGATGCACTCACGTTTCTTGACTCAAACACCCAATGCGATTTGCCATCGTCATCAACGTAGTTCCACCAACGTAGCCCTACTAAAAGTCTCCCAGAAATATTCTTCACAGTCCAGAAGTCAGCGGATAGAAAAAGCACAACGAATACGAAACTGGTGATGAAGGAGTCACTAAACCAGCCACAGAACATGTAAATGACGATCGCTGCACCGCGGAAGAACAGATGGAAGAAGGTGACGTACGGATGTCTAGAAAAAGACACAGGTGAGTGCAACACATACATACATTTCTTCAATCGGTTTACTGCTTACGTGTATTTCTGGGACGCTCTGCTGGGATCGCGCATTTCATCTTCCTCGCCAAACGGTATCGTATCATCGTCCAATAGCGGCACCTATGCATACAAAATCTAGTTAGTGTTTGTTTGCTGTTTAGTCACAGATAAAATTTGTTGCTGTTGTTTTAACGCTGGCTGGTATTAGTTGCATTTGACGTGCAAACTCCTGCTCTTTATTTGTTAGTGTGGCATACATACATTTCTTACCGTTGCAGATGCCATTGTTTATGGCTTGACTAACTTTTTACCAATTTAAATAAAAAATGGCTTGATAATAATTTAATGCATATTCTCTTTACTTGCTGCCTGCGTATAATGTGTATCGCAAATTGGCAGACTATCGATAAGTTATCGATTGCTTGCAGTGCAAGTGTGGCAACGCCAACGTCATAATTGTTTACCTTCTGCTGATAATAGAGCGGAGAGCGGTCTTCTGAGCGCGAGTTTCCTCTCCTTGTTTTCATCCTGCACTTGACTTAATTGTGGCATAAATATGCATGATAGTGAGGAATGTAAAGCGGGAGAAATATAAAACCAATGGCGGTCAGCAGTTGAAGTTAACTTAGCGCTCAGCACGTACGCTCACATTGATAAAAAACACAAGCTGATAAGCCAAACAAATGGGAGCGGAAATATAAGTTAAAAGCGCACATCACAACAGAAATTAGTTGCAAGCAAACCGCCCAGTAAAACAGACGTTCGGGAATCGCCAAGTGCTTAAATTAGAAGGACGCCTGCAAATGAATGAATGAACGTGCGAACACGACGCGACAAGTGCACGAAACGAGTTACGATAACACAACATAAAATTGAAGAAGCGCTCGGTCAAGCGAGAGAGAGAGAGAGAGAGGTCAGCGATCTTTAAACAGCTCCAAGCTCCATCATCATTAGTAGCAACAAAATCAGCATCAGCGCATGTCTGGTGCGTGTGTGTTTTAAACAAAACAATAATACATTCGGTTTCAAGGGTAGCGCAGAAGCGACGTGTGTGTATTAGCCAGCTAGCCAAGTGATTCAGTCAGCTAGTCAGCCAAGTAATTAACGTGTACTGAGGTGAGTGCCAAACAAACACACACACACGTTGGCAAGCACCGTTAACCAGAACTCTTTACATCTCTCTGTATGTGAGTGCGTAGAGAATTTTGGTGACGTCAATAAGAATTTCGCTTAGCTTAACCCAATTTTCACTTTCCAGAGATCCAAAGCAGCAGTCGTAAGTAGAAGGTTGCAGCGTACCGTTCGAAAAATATGGCACCACCCACTGTCTTAGTCACTGGCGGTGCGGGCTACATCGGGTCGCACACAGTGCTGGAAATGTTGAATGCTGGCTACAATGTCATATGCGTGGATAATCTTTGCAATGCGTATAGTGGCGGAGCGTCCAAGCTGCCAGAGGCCTTGAGTCGTGTACAAGAGATAACCGGCAAGAAGATTCACTTCTATCGCGTGGACATCACAGATCGCGAGCAAGTGCGATCGGTGTTCCAAGAGGTAAGTTCAACCAGAGCCCAGTGGCACGTCAGCAAATTGACAAAATGTGCTTGATTGCTGGATATATGTGGCACTTTTCTGTACGCAAACACTCGATCTTTCTTATCATAATTGCTGACGCTATCAGCTTTCAACTGTTGTTTACGCAGCTGCCGCATACTTCTGACGCGCCCTCGCCAACGAGCGCATTGTCGTGACCTCGGTCACATAACTCGCTGCGCTGGCAACGACGTCAATATTGACGTTGCAATAGATGCATCTATTATCTAAACACAACTGTTATTGTTTGCTAAACATTAGCTACTTGTTATATTTGTAGCACAAGATCGACATGGTTGCCCACTTTGCGGCACTAAAGGCTGTGGGCGAATCCTGCCGCATTCCTCTGCAATACTACCACAACAACATGACGGGCACCAATGTCCTGCTGGAGGCCATGGCTGACAACAATGTGTTTAAATTCGTGTACAGCTCGAGCGCTACCGTCTACGGCGAACCTAAGTTCTTACCGGTTACTGAGGAGCACCCAACGGGGAATTGCACATCCCCTTATGGAAAGACCAAATATTTCACAGAGGAGATACTTAAGGACCTGTGCAAATCAGACAAGGTGTGTCCAATCTTTACCTTACGAGTTCCACTGTGACACTAATCATTTTAATTTTGAATTGACAGCGTTGGGCCGTTGTTTCGTTGCGCTACTTCAATCCCGTGGGCGCACACATAAGCGGTCGCATTGGTGAAGATCCCAATGGTGAGCCCAATAATCTGATGCCCTATATTGCCCAGGTGGCTGTGGGTCGTCGTCCAAAGCTTAGCGTCTATGGCAGCGATTTTCCCACCAAGGACGGCACTGGTGTGCGTGACTACATACACATTGTTGATCTGGCTGAAGGTCATGTGAAGGCCTTAGACAAGCTGCGCAACATTGCTGAAACGGGATTCTTTGCGTACAATCTGGGCACTGGCGTTGGCTGCTCTGTGCTGGAGCTGGTGCATGCTTTCGAACGTGCTTCCGGCCAGAAGGTGACCTACGAGCTAGTCGATCGGCGTTCAGGCGACGTGGCCACATGCTACGCAGATGCCAAATTAGCTGAACAAGCTCTGGGCTGGAAGGCGACGCGTGGCATTGACAAAATGTGCGAGGACACTTGGCGCTGGCAGAGTCAGAATCCCAATGGCTATGCCCAGAAGTAGTTTTTGTTAGCGTGTTTCATATCGATGTGTTCTTGCCCCCGCTGCGTGGCAAGTCGCTCTGTCCGCGTGCCACGTTCTCTCTGCTGTTCTGTTATGTTATCTACAAGTTCCTCGACCGCTCCTGTAACTTCAAATATTTGTAATTATTCTAATTAGCAAAATGCTTGCGTACGATTAGTTGTTTATGATTTGTTTTGTCAAATTTTAAGTGCAAAATGTTACAAAATTAAATAAACTAATATGTGTCTCTGTGCACGTAAACCCAAAGTAACTTTTATGAAAATCAACAATGTGCACCTAATGGCATTTTATAATGACTCGTTATCTTCATTCGTAATGCGAGTTTCAAGGTCAAATGTAAAAACAGGGTTTTGTTTTTTAGAGGCGAACATTTATTCAATGCAATTAAACATTTAAAAACGGATTTTAAAAATACTTAATAAATGTGTATTTATACATATTTATAAAAAAAACACACCTGCACAAATAACGGCATTTATCACAATTATGAAATAATTAGTTTTCGAGAACTATGCGTTTTGTTTTTGGAATGCTGCTGATTGTTTTCGAGCTGTTGCTTGTTGCTTGCATACATACGTCTGTATGTATGAATATATCTGGATTGATGTATAAAAGTAGAAAATTGTTTATATTTACGAGTATGGTTCCCTATTCAATATGTGGGTGAGAATTTAGATGACAACTTTACTTTATACACTTGAACTTAGGCCTAGAAATCGGCCCCTCGTTGAACCTGGGATATGGCTTATGTGTTTTCTATATTGTTTGTAGCATGTGACATTTCTGTTTTGGCAATTTCTTTACACGGTTTCTTGGCAATCGTATAACAACCTAATATGGTGATTTTTTATCTATCAACTTAAACCGAGACAAGGAAAATCAATTTAACAAAAAGCTTTTCTACGTGCTACATTCACATATGCATCTAAACGTTTTGTTATATATATGGCTCTATATATATATATATATATATATATATATATATATATATAGGTGCGCGCGATATGCATAATGTTAAAGTTAAATAAGTATGTCTGCTTAAATATATATAAGTATTTAAGTAGTTTTCAAGAGAGCGCTCGTTAGAGATCCGTATCAATGAGAGGCAGTGAAGTACTAGATAGTAGATGTCTTAAGTTTGGATACCAGCCCATTAAATTATGTGGATGTGACGCCCTTGCGTGCCACCAGCATGTTAAGTATGGGGTTCTTCCTTATATAGCTAACTGCCTTTTTATGGGTGACCATTGTGAAGTCGTAGCCGTTGCATTGCAGTATTTTGTCATGTATGCGTAGACCGGCCCGTGCAGCTGGGCTACCTTCGTGCACCTCTGTCACGTAGATGCCCTGCATAAATGTACATGTATTAGATTTAATTCGGAAATATATAAAATAGATAATTCATACATAGTCTGTGTACCCTTGCGGACTTTTCTTGTAGTCTTGATCTATACCACCACCAATTTTAAAGCCACACTTCAGTATCTCTCTGCCTTCCTGGTCGTAATCCTTTTCCTTATGCAGCGTTATGGGTATCTAATAAGAATCCGGAATTATAATAACCGAACAATGTGAAAGTTTGTTTATGATTAATTTCTACAAAACGCGACCTAATTTCATGTACACGATTCACACACATACACATCTATGTGTATACAGGAAGAACGCTATTTCTATATGTCAATGTGTGCGTGTGTGTATCTCACTATTAAAACTCACGCTTAAACATTCCATAGCCGTTCCGGCCTGATGCTGAAATGCCATTTTCGCCATTTTGCTGCAGTTTTAATAAATACTCGGATCAATGAAAACGAAAAATGAATCTTTATTATTGTTCAGCTTAAAAGAGAAAAGTCGCTGTCGTCGCGTACAAACACAAACTGCCTATTCTCTACTGCATCACAAATAGGCAGTGTTGGTAAAGACCGAAATCAATCTCTATTTTCTTTTTGTAATTTTAAACCCATTTAAATAAATAAACAAGTGTTTAGAATTAATTTAATACATTTATTTAAATTTAGGAACGCCGCATAGCTAACATCGTATTAATTTCCCATATTATTATACGCGTCCTATCAATAATCTCTCGTAATTGACGATTTTTTAGTTTTACAGTTTCGATTAGTTCCTGGTTCTCCTGCAGCACTTTGCGATATTCATCACATTGCGATGGCTCTATGCGGGGATCCGGCTCATCCTTGTAGGGTATTAAGGTTTCGACGTTCATGTAGTCCATGCCGGCATCATTGCATTTCTCATAGATGATGCGCACACGTTTGAAAAGCAATCGGATAGTACGAAAATACTCTTGAACCTTTTTCTCAGTATTGTTGTCTCTATGCGAAGTAGGTTGTATGTTCTTTAGAGCTGAGAAAACCTCTTGGAAGCGCGAAGCAATGTCTTGCACTGTCTCCTGGCCCAGCCGCGACAGTTGGACAATGTTGATTTCTTTATGGGGATTTGGTTGAGAAATTGCCAACATATTGTTTCCACCACCTCCGCCGGCTGCACCTGTACCTGGATTGTGTTGTTGTTGCTGTGGTATATTGGGTTGTTGTTGCTGTGGGCCAACACCACCACCACCACCCATTCCCACTCCTTGCTGTGGACCCATCATCTGCTGCTGCATTACATTTGATTGCTGTTGCGGCATATTTGACATTGGAACGCCAACGCCACCCTGCATCATTTGATGCTGCTGCTGCATCTGGTGTTGCGGGGACATTCCCATGCCTTGCATTAAACCAGCTGGTCCATTTCCGGGGCCAGCATTCGGATTCATTTGCATTCCACCTGGTCCGCTGGGTCCGCCGCCTCCCATCATTTGGTTCATTTGGTGCTGTTGTTGTTGTTGCGGCGACATATGCATACCACCACCTCCTTGCATAAATCCACCCATAGGCATCATATTCGGTCCGCCTCCACCAGATGCACCTTGGTTCAACTGATTTTGTCCATATTTCCACATTTTAACAGCAACTAAAGTAAAAACCCGGTTACAAATACCAAATATAGGCCGCTATTTTTCAACACTAATCGTGAAAGAGTTGCCACACGTGGAAATATCGATTAACAACAGCTCGAGTGGATATCGACTTTTTGTGTTTGTCGCAGATATTTATCGGCCAGGTTGAATCTGATTCTAAAGGAATTTAAATTGTTGGCTTATTGATATTGGCAACGAGCAGCGATGGCACGCGATGAAGACAATGGATTTGCTGACTGGGTAAATAAGGCAAAATAAACGAAATGAGAAATAGTAATGTATGTCACTTTCACAGGGCGGCTACTTTGAAGCAAAAAAAGCAAAGCTTGAGGAGCAATTCACGGCAGCCAGCGCTCCATTTCGCAAGTCTAATCTTTTTAATGGCATTTCAATATTTGTAAATGGGAAAGTCAGTCCATCAGCTGATGAGCTCAAGCGCATTATGATGGTATATGGTGGGACATTTCATCACTATAAAAAATCGGAGACGAGTTTTGTCATAGCGTCTAATTTACCGGATGTTAAAGTTCGTGAAATGGACACCAACCGAATAATAAGGGCCCAATGGGTCGTCGATTGTGTTGAACAGATGCGCATTTTGGACTATAAGCCGTACCTGTTGTATACCAATCAGAAAACAACACAACCGTGCCTAAATTTTTTCAAAGGGATGAACAATGATTCCAATGTGTCGGAGGAAGCGGGATCATTGGAGAATACACTTGGTGGCAAACTCAAAGAGCTACAGCAGGTTGTGTCTGTCACTTCGCCAGACAAAAAATCAATTACGAATGCAAATGTGTCCACTACAACAAATACTACCAGCAACAGTGCTCGTACTGCCGTCGATCCGGCATTCCTGGGCGAGTTCTATAAAAACTCGCGTTTGCATCATATTGCGACGCTTGGCTCCGGTTTCAAGCAATATATCTGCGAACTGCGACAGGCCCATGGCAACAAACCGTTCGCTAAACGGGACGAACTGCGTAAACAACTAAGTGAAAATCAGCAAATCATTCCTCAACCGAAAACACCCAAGCGTTATGTGATGCACATTGATATGGATTGTTTTTTCGTGTCTGTGGGATTGCGCAAACATCCAGAGCTGCGAGGCAAGCCGATCGCTGTAACACACTCCAAAGGCGGCAGTGCAGCTACAGATGTACCTGTTCATCCTCAAGCAGATCGCAAGGTGGAACAGGATCTGTTTGCCCAACGTTTCGAGCATCGGCAGCACGACAGCGTTCGTGCGGACAAGGTGCGCTATGGCTTTGATAAGAAGATGTCGCTATCGGAAATCGCATCCTGCAGCTACGAGGCGCGCGAAAAGGGCATCAAGAATGGCATGTTTGTTGGTCAGGCACTCAAGCTGTGCCCCGACCTGAAAACCATTCCCTACGACTTTGAGGGCTATCGTGAGGTAGTAGTTTAAGATGCCTTTAAAGATTCATTGTACTGATCTATTTCATTACCAGGTCGCCTTCGCCCTGTATAATACTGTAGCCCAGTACACGCTGAACATCGAAGCTGTTAGCTGTGATGAAATGTTTGTTGACCTCACAGACTTGCTGCAGGAACTGCAAGTCGATGTTATGACTTTTGTTACATATCTACGCGAGGAAGTGCGCAAAATAACTGGCTGCCCTTGCTCTGCGGGCGTGGGCGAGAATAAGTATACTTAAACTGAAAAACTCACTCAAGTATTTGATAATTAATATTTGTATACATTGACAGACTTTTAGCTCGCATGGCTACCAAGTTGGCCAAGCCGAATGGAGAGCATCTGCTAGATCCTGATGATGCTGCCGAGTATATGGCCAGCTTTGTACTGGACACTTTGCCCGGTGTGGGTAACAGCATGACCTACAAACTCAATCAGGCGGGCTTTAAGACTTGCGGCGATGTTCAATTGAGTTCACTGGCGCGTCTAGAAATGCTGCTGGGCAAAAAGATGGCACTAACATTGCACCAGAACTGTCACGGCATTGATCATCGTCCCTTAGTCTACGAACAAGTGAGACTTAAATGCAAACAACCTCTGACTAGTTAAAAAAAAAAAAAAGAGATTTTATTTTAGCAACGCAAGTCTGTGTCGGCTGAGGTCAACTATGGCATACGTTTTACCAAGTTCGAGGAGCTAGAGAAATTTTTGCAACAGCTAAGCGTCGAGGTGCACAATCGTTTGATGGAGATCAAGCGTAAAGCTAAATCGATTACGTTGAAGCTGATGGTGCGCGCTGCCGAGGCGCCTGTTGAAACATCCAAGTTTATGGGACATGGCGTCTGCGATAATCAGACAAAATCTTATCTGCTCAAGGAAAGCACTAACGATGTAGATGTTATTACCTTCCACGTGCTAAAGCTTATGAAGGAGTCCGGCATTCCACCACAAGAACTGCGTGGAATTGGCATTCATTTAAACAGACTGGAGGATGCTACCGAAATAAAAAAGGAGAATGTCATCAAGAACATGTTTTCTAAGTTATCTGAAAAGAAACAGGGTAAGCCATTACCTTATGTCATTTGTGCTCATATTGATATTGTTTGTCAATCTAGAAAAATTGCCTAACGTATCAGAATCAAGTACGGCTCCAGTGGTGAATAAAGAGAAGCCGATCGGTGTGAATGTTCTCAACATGTTAAAGAATGCTGCAACAAACAAGAACTCAAATGATTCTATCGAATTACCAAAAACTCGTAATGAAAGCGTAAAAATTGTGCAAAAAAATGCAGAAACACGTAAGCAGACAGTAGATAAAAAACCAAAGCCACCCGAAGTAAATGTCTTAAGCATGCTGAAGAGTGCCGCTACATCGAAGAAGTCAACGGGCTTTCAGACCGTTCCTATAGGAGAGTCAATAATATCCAATGGTGGTGCTGTGCCAGCAGTTTCGCAGTTCGATGCAGATGTTCTGGCTCAGCTGCCGGAAGAGATACGGCGTGACATACTCTGTTATCCGGAGGAATATTTGCGTATGTCCACGGGAGAGATGCGTGACGCAAAGGGCGACCAAATCGACAAGCATAAGCAACGGACCAATAAGAAAAGGAAATCACGCTCACACTCGAGCTCACGCACACCATCGCCTCCACCGTGGCCGTCCTCGATGCGTACTGCACGCTCCAATGCAAGTTTATTAAATGAAAGCGATTTAAGGCCTTCAACTTCAAGTGCGGCGCTGGCCAAGCAGAAGGCGCGCGCTTGTCGTGCTGACCAAATTGTGGCTGATTACGTACAGGAGCTGCCGCAGCATATGCATCCCGCCATCATGCAGTTCCTTGCATCCAATAATACACTACTGAAAGCTCCACCCACCCCGCCTGCTACTGCAAAAGCGGAATCTGCGAACGAGTTGAATGTATTTTTACATCCCGATTATAAAAGTATGCTAGCCACCTGGGTGTCTTCGGAGGAGGTGCCCAAATCTGCTGATGTTGACCTTATGTACATCAACATTAGTTCTCTGGTGGAAGAGAGCCAAATGGAGAAAGTTTACGAGGTTATGAAGTACTTGTGCCGTCTCATTAAGGCCAAACGCGCCAGCAGCTGTGAATGGCACATGGCTTACAATGAGATCGAGTCGAACGTCCAGGAGAAAGTGCACGAGTCGATGGATTGTCACATCTACTTCACAGAGGCAATCGATTGCTACAAGTGTGCCTAAGTGGGGAATGACCCAAAGTACAAATGTTCCTTAGCTGTGGTATTGAGTGCGCCACTTAAGTTAAATAATCGACTTGTTAACAAAGTATTATTGATGTTTTTATTTTTTTAAGTATACTGAATATATATATATATGTTTGTAAAGCATGACTAAACCAAAAGCTGTTAGCGCCAGTTGCTTTTATTGCTAGCCCGTAAATTTATTTATAAATCTCTCAAGTCCGAAGAGCGGTAATTAATGTCGTAAAAGCAGCAAGCGGTAATAATCGGACAATGGCGACGATGGCGTTGATAACTTAACTATACAAAAGGGCGGCTTGGCAGTCGGCTGAGTCTGAGCCGGCTAAAGACAAATAGGCCAGGCCAACACCTGGCGGAACTGGCAAGTCATAATTTGCACTTTAATGAAAGCGTCGTCGAACAGGTAGAGTCACTGCAGTTAATCGCCAACGACTGCCGCCAGCAGCAGTAGCAGCAGCAGCGGCCGCGGCAGCAATATGTAATTGATTCGCATGCCTGAGACCAGCCTCGAATCTCAATCCCAGCTCCAAGCTCCAAGCTCCAGCCCCGCTTGACAAACTATAACAATTATAGAGCCAGTGCTAGTGCCAGCAGCAACCCCACACAGATGCATCACAGATTGAGTACGGCGGCAGCCGCAGCAGCAGCAGCAGCAGCTGTTGTTGCCTTTTTGCCACTGACAGTGGTAATTAAAAATAGTCAAGCTGCATTTCTTGCGCCGCATCCGGTTGAGTTGCTTCTCTGTGGGCTGGGCTGGGCCAGTTTCCCCTGGATTTACATGAGCTGCGCTTTGTCTGATTTAATTATGTGCGCAAAAGGCGTCGTTGTTTCATAAATTTTATGCATCCTGTCGCCGTTTCCACACACAGCGCCGACTCCCAGCCACAGCAACAGCCTCGAACAGTAGCCGGTCTCTTGTCTGGTTTTACACGCATAAATATGATCTTGCCTCAGCCAGCAAACCTGCAGCCAGATGCAAATGTTGTCAAGTTTTGATAGACTTGTTGGCAGCGCCAAACAGTTGCCAACATGATTTGTCAACGATGCCGATGCCGATGCCGCGGATGTACGCATGCGGCTAATCGAATCGAACCAAGTTTCCTGTGCAACTTGTAATAGATAGCAAAGAGAGTTTATCTACATTATTTTTTAACTAACACAGGAGTTTGTCAAAGTCGCAGGGAAAAGCGAATATGAAGTCATAAGTGATCAGGAGAGGCCAGTAAATGAATTAATTAGAGGGAGGAGAATGAGAGAGAAGTAAATAATTAAAGACAAACATAATTAAGCAGACAGAAAGAGAGATAGAGAGGGAGGAAGATTCAGTAAATGTGCCCTAGGCACAAGTAATCGAAAAGTATTAGATTGTAGACATTCACATACATATTTAATATATGCAACACTTCCTATACTTGACACATAAAGTGTTATTTATCTTATATACGGGGGTTTCCCTTTCTAATCGGCCCATTCGCAAGCCTTTAACTAAATCAATTCAATTGCTTCTGTGCAGATTCGCTTTGCTTAGCTTTTCCCACGATGCGCTGACTAACAGTAGCTGGAAAAGCCGCTGGAAACTGTCAACCCAATCAGACGTGGCACTCGTTCCGACAAGATCACTGCCAAACAGCCTGGGCAAGGCTTGGCCAACATGTAAATATGCATAAGGCACAGTCAGCAGCAGCAACAGCAGCAGCAGCAACAATAAGCAGCGGGATTGAAGCAACAACATCAGCCTGAGCATGTTGATAATGGGAGGCTGTCTTGGCAGACTTGGCTACCAAATAAGCTGAACGACAACAAAATGCAACATAGAACAGCATACGTATAAAGTTTGGCAAGATGTTTCAGATTTTGCCGCCAATGTTGCAGTTGTGCTGTTGTTGTTGTTGCTGCTGTTGCTATTGCAGTTGCGTCTATGTAAAACTTCTAGCCAATTAACTTGGCGACCGGTGTGCCGGCAGACGAAGCCAAAGTCGAATGCTGCCGCTGCCGGTGCCGGTGCCTTATGATTAGAATCGTCGACAGCAGGCCGCCAAACGGGCACGGCAGCAGCAGCAACAGCAGCAGCAGCAGCAGCAGTCGTCGCGGCAACAGCAACAACTAACCAAAGCTAATGAACCATGTTGCCGCTGATGAACCCGAGCTGATTAATGATGCCTGCCTGGCTGGCTGGCTAGCTGGCGAGCTGACTATCTGGCTGGCTGGTTGGCTGTCTGGTTGGCAAGGGAACTTGCATACAACTGTGCAATTGGAGGTTTGAAGCTGCAACTGGTCCCCGAGGGCAGCTAACAACTTAACTAGCTTGGATGGTGGGCTTAGGGTTGTGGCCGAAATGCAAGCAAAAACAAAAAAACAAAAACAAAATAAGAATAAAAGCAGCAGCAGAAGCAACAGCAACTACAATTTTTGGGCAGCAGAAGAAGCTGACAACAGTTGCCCATTGGCCAAACAAAGGCTCTGCGCAGGCGCACCTGAGAATGTTGATAGCCCCCATGGAGCCCAAGGCCCACAGAGTCCAACTCCAACCCCGACTCCAGCTCAAAAACGCTGAAAAGCTAAAATGCTGACGCTCTCAAGTCCAAGTGCAAGCCGTTTTTTATGCCACTCAAGCGACGACAAGGCGACCAAAACAAGCCTGAACTCTGAGCAACTGGCAACTAGGGCTTATAGCTGTTGCTGCTGCTATTGCTGTTGTTGTTTTTGTTACTGTTGCTGTTGTTGTTGGGGCTCGTTTGCGGGCCCTTTATCACATGCGCACATCATTTACTGGACGCAGCCGCGCGCACTTTAGCAATTGTGCCTTTTAAAGTGTTTGCGTCGTGACAAAATCAATGTTGCTGCCCCAATGTTGTTGCAGTTGCTGTTGCTGTTGTTGTTGTTGTTGTTGTTGTTGTTGCCGTTGCAGTGCCTGACAGCCGCTTGGACAGTGATTCATGGTTTATTAAGCGCATTATGCCGCAGGACACTTTGAAGTTGCCACAGCAACTGGCAACTGGCAACTGGCGGCAGACTGTGGCAGCAACTGGCAACAGTTGCTGTTGCACGTGGTTGTAGCCCTTTTGTTGCCTTTGGCATTGGCAATGAACACTTGGCAGCAGGTCTAGAGCGCAGATCTCTTCACGTTTTGTGACCGCCTCTTCACTTCAGCAATTGATTACTTAACATGTTTTATGCGTACGGCAAGTTATGTGGCGACTGGCGCGTTAATTTGTGCCCGCTGCTGGCCTTGGCTGCTGCTGCTGCTGCTGCTGTTGCTCTATCCTCTTAGACTTTTGCCTTTCTGCTGCATGGCAGCCAAACAAATTGCTGCTCGGCAGGCGCTGGGCCGTAAATCAGCGCACCAGTCAAAACACATCAACATCAGCATCGACAGCCGCATCGACAGCAGCAACAGCAACAACAAACCCATCAACAGCTTCCCAGACTAGACAAACAACAGCAGCAACACCCACATAAGGCACCTTCCAAATGGGCGTGCCGAACGCGCCTCCACAGTCTGCCAACGTTTGCATGTGCAATCGGAATTAATTATTAGCAAATGCGGCGTACAGCTAACAAATTCTCGCATATATGTATGCTTATATCCACATCCGAAATCTGAGTGTGCATGAGAATGAGATGAATTGCCAGTCGGAGATGCAGGCGCGCGATAAAAAACGCGCCGAAAACGCGTCGGCTTGTTGCTTGCCTGCTCGTTGATTTATGCAATATAAACTGTGGCCCATACCCAGTGGGGCAGTGTGATGGGGTGTGATGGACTTGTGTTGGTTGAGAATTTATACATAACAATGCAATAATGCTGACTTTACTTATATGAACTGATATGATCAAGTTTGCTATGCAAATCGGAACAATTCCATATATACTTAAGAGGAAGGAATATTCTGCCACAAAATAATTGCTAGGGTAGAGAATTCATGGTGAACATCGTTTACAGGGCATCTTCTCGCACATCAGCAACAACTTCAGTTTGCAATTGCATTACGTATGCCGAAAATATGCAAATTGGCAATTTGAAGTGTGAACGCCGCCAGTGGCAACAGCAGCAACAGCAGCAACAACCAGCAACAACAACATCAGTTGCAACAACAGCAACTACAACAGTTGCAGCAACAGCAGCAGCAACTTTCTGTGAATTATGCCAAAGAATTGGCGTCGGAGTCGACGTAGCTGCACTTGTCATTAGAATGCAATCGAAGCGTCAGAAATAAATTACAAAACCGTGTAAAGTGCAAACTGGACGCACAGTTTTGTATTTACCTTTATTTTGCCTATTTTATTTCTGTATTTATTTATTTTTTGACGTTTCGCTGGGGCACTGTAATCGCATTTATGGCCACATAAATCTTGGCTAAAATTTGCCGTTGCCTAACAAAGTTGTCGTTGTTGTTGCCGCCGCTGCTGCTGCTGCTGCTGCTGCTGTTGTTGTTGTTGTTGTTGTGCCTGGCATTGGCTAAATGTATTTATAAAAAGTGTTATTTTTGTTGTTGTTGTTTATCAATTGAGCCGCTCTTGGAGCGAAACTGGTCCAGCTTTGATTTATTTGCGTGCTCTGCGACGTCCGACTCTGGGCCGCGATAACACAGCGCGCTTTCACGCATTTTTAATGCCTCCACTGTGAGTCGCTTATGGGCTGTAATTTGGTATCCAGTATCCAGTGCTCGATCTGCAGATATCTTTGTATGTATGTCGTGTGCGAGAGTGCTGCTTGTAATTGAATCAGAAATATGCTAAGCATGCCCAACAGACACGCCTCACCTGGCCAAAGGTGGGCGTCTGTCATTGAGCAGCAGCAGCAGCAGCAGCAGCAGCCGCAACAGCAGCAGCAACAGCAGGTGACAGCTGGCAGGTGCAGGTCGCAATTCACAATTCGCAATTCGCATGATTTGTTAGTGCAAGGCGCTGGCTCCGTGTTAATCCGATCAAGATATCATGACACAAACATTCCCATTACATCAGCAGCCAGCTAACCAATCAGTTAAGCCTCATTATGCCTATGCCGCTGACATACCGAGCTCTTGTTATGCATAGAAGAGTGGAGAGCATATTTTAATGCAGCGGCATTATAATAGTTGCAGG